AATCTCACTCAATGCCGTTTTTTCTAATTCCATTGCCGGCAGCCCAAAGACAATTTGTGCCGGGCTCAGTCCAAGTCTGAAATATTCTCAATGCGTTCATTACGGTTCATTATTATTCATTCAAAAACTATTCCTAAAAGCCTTACTGTGGATTGCCTAGGTAATTTATCAAGTTGTGAACTTCTCATTCCAGTTGTACTGTCTTAAAGATAGCGAGGAGGCAAATGGGTGGTGGAAACACAATGTCTTCAACGAAACACTCGATCCATCGGCAAATCTGTTCTGCTTAGAGGTCATGAACAAAACAGCAAACCACAAGAATATGAATGTGCTGAGCTCAGTGATCAATATCATACTTTTGTCATGCCAAAAGAGTCTTGAACACATCACCGCGCTGCTGTCACATCGAAAAACTTCTGCTTACAAAAACATCGTTGAAAAAGTTCAGAGTTCGCTAACAAACCGTTGGAGTTGCTGCGTTGTTTTTATTGAAGTAAGAGCCGAGTACGAGAGATCTTTAGCATAACGATCAATGCGGTACATTTCAGACCAATTTATCTCCGCTTGTGATAGAGTCTGATCTGAAATTTAAGTTTAGCACTATGATTGAACGAACACAAAATTCAGTCTCGATCAAAGTCGGGAACACTCTAGCTGCTTCATAAAGATTTTCGCAACCGTTCACGATTAACTCCAATGTTGATTCTGTCCAAAATCTTCAGTGAATGTTTCAATTGGCACATGAATTCACAAACGACAGGGCAATGAAACGCTCGAACAAAGTTTCATTATAATTAGTGGAGTTATGCGACAAATTCCATTGATTGCTACATGTGAAAGATAATTTTCAGTTTACCATTCGAAACGATGAATAGACTTCTTTCAGTTCTATTGAATAATTCATTCATATCCGATCGTGCATCCTTGATCGCAGTGAGCAAGTTCTTTCGAGAAACGATTTCCTCCAATTCCTCATCACTATTTTTTAATCTCGGTATTTGGGAGTTCGCGATCAACGCCTCTTCTCCATCTTCATCTGAATTCACTGGATATTGCTTGAGTGGGACAAACAAAAGCTCCTATCACTTAAATGAAAAATTGTACACTGAAAGAATGAAGTCAACTTTGATGAATTCATTCTTTCAATAAGGAGAAATTGATGAATTTCTGACAAAATCGCATGATATTGCAAAATAAATTGTGCTTATTCGATAATCATCCTTTCGAGGATATGACCCGTATGAAACTGAATTTAAGGCACCAGCAAATTTAGAACTGTGCGTTATTCGAAGCATGCTAGATTGCTGCAACCGGTCTACATGAAGTAGCATGCACAATTCTGTGAACAATTCATTCCGTGATCAGATGCAAGCGAGACGGATGATTATCACTACAACTGACGCATACTACCCTTTTGAAGGTGGAAATTTTTGATTGTCAGACTAGAATATGCGGTCCGCACATAGACATTACAGGTCATGCGCTACTTGAATTTGAACAGGGACACCATCGAATTTCCGACAACAATAAACGGAGCAAAACAGAAGAGATCGAAGACGAGCTGAGTGAAAATCTGAATGGAAGCCTCACCGATGATTCCGTTGTTGTCATCAAAATCAAGCGGACCGTTTGAGCACGGCGTAAAACTCGTACCGCACGGAATATTGCTTCTGCGTTGTCGTGCGTGAGCATCTTCTTGTGTTGAGCACTGCTTGGCAACACTCAGCAAGAGCAACAGCAGCAGCCACAACTGCCAGAACAGTGTCATTGCTAATTGTTCAGTCAATGGTTATATCTGCAAAAAGGATTCATCATGCGATCAACATGAGACACCAATCGGCGGATTGAGCCAGTTCATCTGCATGGTCACGTTTTAACACTCTTCTTCAAGTTATCGTTCGAATGACCAGTGAAAAGCACGGATTTTTGGTCTTGTATATAAATATGATAGAGATCGGATATAATTTTATGCTAACTCTTAAATAAGAAAAAGATAATCTGTAATTTTGGATTAATTCATCTTGAATCTGAATCAGCGATGCTGGGAATAATTCGATAACACCTAACGAATTTTTTGTTATCAGCTAGAGTGATAATTTGAGTAGTTTAGCGATTAAATTGCGCTTCTCCAAGTATCCTAAACGAAGCGCTTGCAATAATTCATTCAACACAACATTCTACTGCGTATGGTTTATTTTTGCATACTCAGCTCATTGAAGTATTAATAATTTCATCGAAGCGATTCAATAAATAAAAAGTTTCGTGAATGTGAAATTTCTCAGTAGCTAGTACTCAATCGTATTGAAACCAGTGGTCTGGAACTTGAATAAGAAAGGATATCCGCAATTTCAACGAAACCAATAAAAGATAGCACATGAAGTGAGCGATTAATAAACACGACTGTCAGTTGGACAGGAGATCGGTCGTGAAGTGATGTGACAGTTTGCATGGAGCGATCATAATTGGCAATCATCAACGATTTGATTGTTTAATTATCGGTGTTCTTCTCTGATAGATAATGCATTCGTTCGCTTATCATCAAGAACTGTCAATCCGTCAACGATCAACAATAACACATCTGATCAATCGAATCCACCCATCCTCCGAGATGAATACAAGAGGACTACGTTCAGATGAATATGAATATCCATCCTCGTTTGATTATCTTCTCCTTCATCCGTCTATCTTTCATTGTCAGTCTATGAACGTACATAACTCTACAGCAACCTGTTTCCGATAATGATGATCCACTGGAAAAAACAAAACGAACAACTTGATATGTCTACTCTAATTGAAAAATAACAATGAATTGATTATCTCTCCCCATGATTGATTATCTCTCCCCAAGTGAAATTACTATTGACCTCTGTACTTCTTGAAAAGAAACTCAAAAGTGAAAGTTACACTCATGTTGGATTTGTGTGCATATCATTTGCCTACGTAACACGTGCACGTCAATGTAATTGCAGCAATGAAATCGAATAAATGAGGCAACTTCAGAATATAATGCAATTAATCAGCTAGATGGAATGAAGCATTGCTATGTCTATTTTTCACATCCAGACTCAACAAATGAATCATTAATTCAGTCATTTTTATCATAAATGAGTGCTCGATATCATTGGGATGTCTATGAGTGCTAACGTTAAAATTTCTCATTTCTTATTTTTTATCGTACCGATCGACAGACACTTCCTAATGCAATTTAAAAACGAATAACGCAGCAATTTTACGATTCGCACTAAGATCTGCTCTGCGAATTGCTATTGACCTCCGCGTCGACTAAATGCAATTNATTAAAAGTAAAACTAATCAAATAGGGTGTGAAGTGGATGAAAGCCATTACTCTAGATTTTTATTCATGCGGTAAGACACATCAGCAATAGGTGAATGCTCACCGCGATAGCGTGAATATTAACAGTTGTTAGCGATAGGTTATCTTGTGAACGGGATTGTAACAGTACTGCCACTGGCTGACTTTTCTGAGTTTTCCGAGCCTTGAACGTGGTTCTATTTACTCGCTCCTTTTGTAATTGTAACTAGAGAAATCAACATCGCAATCTTAATGTTTTATCCCAGTCTTACTCTCATTTTATTCCATGCCATTCGACCAAAATATTTCGAAAACTGCATCCTATGAAATTGGTTTGTTCAAAAACATGAAATAAGCGCATGCAAATGATTACTCGATAAGGCCAGAATGAAATGGACTTCTGAACTCGGAAATTTGGGCGAATTTCATGGATAAGAATGGTTCGTTAGCAATTGCTAGAGCAGATACGTGTTGACTAGTGTCGAAGAATGTTCATTTGAAATTTCCTTTTTTGCAAAGTTTTCTTCGTTTTGTTCATTTTCCATTGAACATTTTCAAGTCGATCATTCGAAGAGCATTTTTTGCGAGGAATTAAGAACATCGATTGGTGTGTCGTATGCGTCATAAAGACTGAAAAGAGTTCACAAAACGTGTGCAATTCCTATGCGCGTTAGGCTCATGGATTGTCCACAGTCGACGAGGGTGGAGATTCGGGTAGAAATCATTTAAAAAAAAGCCTGATAGCCGAAAAACTCACGCAAATTTAAATGAGTAAGGAATGGACACTGATGGGTCTACACAAATATTTTGATGATAGATAAATCGGCCGTCTTATTCAATCGCTTGTACTCAACCTATTTCCAAAGCGTTCACAGAGACTGGAGAAGTATCGAATGTAGGCAGCACTAAGGAATGCATAAGGATTGTTTAAGAGCAAAATTAGGCCGCAGTGTTATTCACGTCAGCATTATTGAAATTACTTAAGTCTGCACCTATTTAAACAGGTTCATCGGAACATTGCTCTATCTATACTCA